AAAATAGGGAGGGAAGAGGGGTTGAAGTGAGGGCAGGGGATAGGGAAAGAAGAATGTGGATACGTTAAACTCTGGTACAAGTTCCTGACGATGAATGTGATCATTATGCATACCTAAAATGTACCAATAGATTTAATTTAAAAAAAACATTAAAAAGGGCTGGGGATGTAAGCTCTACACTAGATCCCAAGCATGTGTGAGGTCCTGGAGGGGTTACAATTGATCTGTACTAGGTGTTTTTTTTTTTTTTTTGTACTAAGAGTAGCAGAACCTGGGCAACGGTAGTGCACACTGCTACCTAGGAGGCTGAGGCAGAAGGATCCTTGAACTCAGTGGCATGAGGCTACTTCGGCTAACAGTGAGACCTTACCTCAGAACATGAAACCAAGCATGAACCTGTTGTTGTAGGAAACGATCTACTGCCATGATAAAGCGCCATGAACTTTTCTAGAGATTGTATTTGCTTTTCTGTAAAATGAGTGTTCTTTCAGAAAGAAAACATATCCCTTTTATTACTCCCGTGGAAGTGTCTATTGGCTCTATCTGGGAAATCTATGGACTCGGCCTACTATTTCCTTCTACACCTAATTATCTCAGCTGTACTAATCGCTGTAGAGTGCCAGGAATCTAGGCCTGCCTCCGAAGGACTCAGTGCTCACAATCTACCAAGATGTCAAAGTGTAAGTCATTTCACAAACATCATCCAGTAATTGAGCAGTCTGAAATGTACAGCACATGCCTAGGACAGTTAAGGAGGTGGAAGTGTTTCAGGCCAGGAACACAGATCGGGAAAGCATCAAGAAATGTGATTTTGGGGCTGGTGAGATGGCTCAGTGGTCTAAAGCACCTACCTAGAACAAGCTTAGCAAAGCACAGAGACCACAGTTCAATCCCCCAGCACCACATGCCAGCCAGCCCTGCCCCCTGGTGGGCTGAGCTGCCCCCCCCAAATATAAAAAAAAAAAATTTAAAAAAAATAAAAAAAAAAAGGTGATTTTAGGAACTGTTGAAAGTTATTCACTTCATTGGCAACAAGATGGTGTTTTAGTTTCATAGACTGACACTGAGGTTCGAAGGCACTAAGCCCTCCCTTTCTCTTCATCCCCAAAGAAGGGGATGTTATGCAGAGGCATGAGGAGGACTCTTGGCTGCACAGATCAGCAGGACGTTCCTGTTGGTGTGCACGTTCACCCAAGCAGTCAGCAGGAAGTAGGGTGCTGGGGAGCCCTCTGACTACTCAGAGATGATTACAATCTCACTAGCAGACAAGGCAGGGAGGAAAAGCACTGCCCATGACGGAACTCTAATAAAACTTTGTATTTTAGGGATACAGCCTAGAAGTGTCAAGAGACAGATCAGGTATAGTCAAGCATAACACTATTACAGAAACCAAGAGAAAGGTATCAGATGGTTGGTAGCCATGCTGCCTAAATGTTAAGTAATGTAATGAGGGAACAAGTGTCCACTGAGTTTGCAGGTTAGATGAGACTTCAAAACCAAGTGGTCTCTTTGGAATGGTAGTGTAGGGGTTGGGGTGTAAGGAAGCAAAACAAGCAATCCACCCAACAAAAATCCACCCAGCATCATGTTCAGTCTTTCCTCTAGATCCAAGGAAGGATTTATCTGGGAGACTGAAAATGGCAAGGGCAGTTGGCTCCAACCACAAGTATTTTAAGAAGACATCTGATCCAATAATTAAAGAGATACTCAGCGATCTGAAGAAAGGCTCGCTGTAGGTTTTCTTTCAGATCTACCACTACAGTCAAGACTGGAGCTTAAGCACAGAGAAAACTCAAAGCAATTTACCACAGGGAACCACAACTTACTGAGGTTGCTCCACTTACTCCACTTTTGTCACATGGCCCAGCAGGTGCTTAACCCATCCACCCATCCAGGAAAAAGTCTTATGACACTCTGGCTGTAAGTTAATGTAACCTGTAAATAAATTTTGAAGAAAGCCAGGGGCTTCCAGCCAGAACTAGAGAGCAAGACCTTATGTCAAAAACAAAACAAAAATTGAAAGTCCTAAATTCTCCTAGTGGTACTGGGGATTGAGCCGCCCAGGGCCTCACACCAAGCTACATCACAGGACCTTTCATTTGTCAGGGTTTTGCTACATCACTAAGTTGCCCAGACTGGGATCAAATTGATAATTCTCCTGCTTCAGCTCCCAGAGTGCTGAGATTACTGCGGGTGCCACCATACCTGCTGAGATTTTTTTTTTTTTTTTTTGGAACCAGGGATTGAACTCAGACCCTTGTGCTTGCCATGGAAGCGCTTATTCCACTGAGTCATCTCCCCGGCCCCCCTGCTGAGATTTTGACATTGTTCTTTCTTCATAGTCATCCCTAGAACCTGCAGACAACCTTGAATTTTTCACTGAAATTTTCCAGTTTCAATTTGTTGCTGTTCTAATCTTGCAAACCTTATGGACTATTGCCTAAATAGGTTAAAAATAGTAAAAAATGTTTCCCTCTGCTGTTTCTTCATTGCCAAAGTCACTAACACTGAATTGCAAATTGGAGCTCTGGGAAAAACTACTTGCAGGTTCTAAGTACAGCTGGCCAAGGAAAAGGTGTAAGACCTCATTCTATTAAAAAATGCCAGGCTAGTGTTTTTGGATGAGAGGATGTCAAAGTGTTTCCTGAAATAATTATCTTTTTGTCAAAAACTACTGGGTTATCACTCGGTATGTTTAAAAAAACATTGGAGGGCAGTGTCAGGGCCTGAACTCAGGGCTCTAACTTCCTAGCAATTATTCTCCCATGTCCCTCATCTTAAACACTTAGAAATGAAGAACCAATTGGTTTGTTTTTAAAAATTAGATACAGGGTCTCACTACATGGTTCCGACTCATAGTGATCCTTCTGTCTCAGCCCTCCCAGTTCTGGGATTACAGGCATGTGCCACCATGCCTGGTTTCGGGGACAGCATGGCATGCGGTACCAGGGATGGAACTTGGGACCTTGTGCGCTTAGACCTGTGAGCTGCTCTCTCCCCAGTCCAGAACCAACTGGTATCAGTAAGTAGAAAACAGTTCATAACTACATTTATACCAATTACCAAAATAGTACTTATGATGAACAGTGTAAACTTCTGGGCTAGGAGAGTAGATAAGTGTGCTTTGTAGGCATGAGGTCCACAGCTTAGTTCTTAGCATGTGATGGGACAGTGTCAACTCAAGGCTTGCATTTCTTATTAACAGGTGTTTTTTTTTGGCAGAACTGGGGATTGAACTCATGCGCTTGCACTTGCCAGGGAAGCGCTTATGCCACTGAGCCAACTCCCCAGCCCCAAATGTTTTTTTTTTGGCAGAATGAAGGATCGAACTCAGACCCTTCCACTCGCCAGGCAAGCGCTTATTCTCCTGAGCCATCTCCCCAGCCCCTGGTTAACAGAATTCTTTCACAGGATAACCTATTTCAGACTTTTCTAGTGATACTAAACCAATATTGTGTCAAGTTTCTACTTAAACCATAATTTTAAAAAAACCCACTAATAAGGAAATGAAGACTCCTTCAATGGAAAGTCACCTCTTATCTGTGAAAGGCCAGTAGTCTCTTTTTTGAAGGCAGGTGATGTTCTTTCCTTTATCCATTTAAAATTTTTAAGTTTGCTTTTGAGGCAGGTTCTTATTGTGTAGACCAGGCTGGCCCCAAGCCTGCAGAGATCCTCACGCCTTAGCCTCCTGAGTGCTGGCACCTTTATCCAGAATCCTCAGACCACCAGAGTATTTTCAGGTTCAGTCAGAAAGGTCACTTTAAACTGTACGTTTAAGACACAATCATTACCTGACATGGAACTTCCTAGGTAACAACTCAGATCCAGTTTTTTCCTTATTGACAAGATGAAGTTGATTAACTTCATTTTTTCTCCCTGTTTTGACACAAGGTTTTACTATGTAGTGCAGGCTGGCCTCAAAGCTGTGATGATCCTCCTGCCTCAGCCATAAGAGCGCTGAGATTACAGGAGCCACCATGCCTAGCTATAACTCCACTTACTAGCCTGAAATCTGTGACTCAGCTGTGTAACTCATCAAAATATACAAACTCTCAGTTAATTATGCTAGGTTTATTATTTACTAAGAAACAAGCAGAGAAGCTTAGAAGCACACAGGAATATTCCAAGACACTCAAGAGTCTCTTCTTAAAATAGTATCCTCTCCCGGATTATGTTTTATTCACATTTGCAAATATATTCTTCAGTAACTTCTAAATTCATCTCAAAAAGGGTACTGAACTGGGGTACTTATATTTCCTTGGAAGTTTTTTTTATCACACTGAATATAATAAAAAGAATCCATTTAAAATACTTTTGGTGTTAGGGTTTGTTTTTTGCAGTGTTGGAAATGGTGGGTGCTTTACAACTAAGCTTAACTCCAAGGGCCTAGATACTGGAAGTTGAGTCCAGGGCCTTGCACATGTTAGGCAAGGGCTCTAGTACTGAGCCACATATCCCAGTCCCCCAAATACTGTTTTTAATAAGGTAGCATCCGATGGTTCTCAGGTATTTATATTTATGAACCACCAATTACAACTCAAACTGGTATTCCAAAGGAAGTAAAAGAAAAGAAACATACAACTAAAGCAATTTCTCTTACTCTTTACTTTTCTTTTATTATTCAAAAGTCAAATGTTATTTTTAAATCATCCATCCTCAATTTTGATTTAATGTACTGTCATTTCCAAGATATGAAATTTCAGAATCTCTTTGGAATACTTATTTCATGTTTCTAGGTTTAACAAAACTGTCGAAGTTTTAAATTCTACTCTATTTCCCTGAAATCTCAAGACAGTTGCTGATGTAAATTTTAATATAAAATATTTAGTCACAAAATAGTATTGCTTTTGTATGCACATAGTTGTAAGATTACTTTGCTCTTGTCAATAAAAACTATACCATCTTTCATAAAACTCTAAACAAATTAAGAACTGTGATGTAGAACAAAAATTACACATGGTAAAACAGGTACCAGCACAACGTTAGGTTATATTACATCAAAACTGTTTTAATGGTCCCAAATATATATATATATTCAACAACTAAGCATACACTCAGGGGAGGAAAAAAAAATCAAAAACAAAGTCAAACAAACAAAAAAATTATGACACAAATGACCACATCTAGAATTCCACTCAATCTTTAATCAAGTAGGACAAGTCCCCACTTAAAAAAAATCTGCAGTCTGAAGGGCAAAGGGAACAGATAAAAAAAGAGGGAACTTCATACTTGCCCCTCCCCCACAGAGGTTTTCCAAATCTGCTGTCACTTGACTAAAATGTTCAGAATGTATGATTTTAAAGGCAGGTCTCTTTTATACAAAGAAACTGCTGGCATTCTTAACTAGTGAAGAACTGGGGCAGAAAGGCCCATTCTCCTGTCTCAAACATGGTCCAAGAAAGCATGTTTTGATTGTAGCAACTGACCAGTCCATCCAGAGTTCCACTTACAAAATCCCTGCCCTGTTGGCTTTTTGTTTCCGTTTCCTTCCCTGAGAAAAGGGCAATGTGTGGTCCAGGCTGGAGAGCTCAAGGCGGAAGTCCTTCCCCTAAACACGCGGTGTCCCCTCCTCCTGCTCCACTGAATTGGCACTTGATGAGCAGAAGCCGAGCGTGCGAAGCTGAGCGTGTCAGTCCTTCACGAGAGACCACTGCGCTCTGCTGTGGATTTTGTATGGGGGAGGGGTAGAGAACCAGTTTTGTCACCAGGTGCTAACCACAGGCAGGTGCCATTATGACGACTCGAATTTTGCTTTCTTTGACACTGGCGGCGCCTCTTCCTTGTCCTCATCCTCATCATCATCCTCATCATCATCAGGGTAATCTACCAGGCCCACAAGGCCGCCCTGTCAGAAAGGAGGATTATTCACAAAACAGAAAATGAAATGCTACATTTAAAAATACCTCTATGTTAAAGTTGGAGAATATCTTCTACCTGAATAGTTATTTCTGGGCAGTGGCGTTGTCTGCAACTGAAATTATTTATGTATTTCCAAGAAACACTTTTAATAGTAAGAGAAATATTTTAAGTTATTACCTGAAGTTAAAATAAAAACTGTAAAAAAAAAATAAATAGAACCCACCCAGTCCATTAGCCAAGTGCGGACGCGGCTTCTTGCTCAGTGCATGCTCAGCCTGACCCTCACTTCAGCAAGTGCCTCAGATTCACTTCCTGGCCCTAAGGAGTTTCCTTCTTACTCAAAAGAACAGATTGGATGTGCATTATATTTCGGTTTAAATCAAAGATTCTCAAATTCCAGGCTGCCAACTTCTAGCTTAATAAGTATCTATGTCTCAAAATAAAAATAAAATAAAGGGTAGTATAATGGCAGTTTGAAGAATTGGTTTTATTCTGATTTTTTTTTTTTTTTAAGCTTTTTAGTACTCAAATTTTGTTCCTTTTTTACATGAAATTGAAGTTAGTGTTACTAGATAGTTGTCACCCTGGATTACATGGCAAATTCATGGCCAAACTACATGGCAAAACCCTGTCTTAACAACACAAAACAAATTCAGACTTTGCCACTGGTCCTAAGGAACTTTCAGGTGGCGGTGGTAGGGACAACTCATTTTCTGACTCATGAATATTTAACTGGTGTCAAAAGAAGTAGCAGGAGCAGCCTCAGCTGTAACAACAGAGTCCACTTAGATCAGCCAGGGAACAGCGGAAATCCCAGTGTAAGACATACCTTTGTGGTGATAGCTGCCGTCTGAGATGTGCTCTTAGGGACGGATCCAGGAGAGCCCGGAGACCCTGGGGACCCAGGGGAGCCCGGAGAACCAGGCAGGTTTGCTGCAGGTGACTGGCTGGTGAGGTTAGTCTTTGTTCCACTGGACAGGGAAAGCTTGAAGCTTGGGCTCTGCCGTCCAGAAAGATTTGTTTTCAAAAGCACCTCCTTTTCTTCACTTTCTTTCACTAAAAATGACAATATGGTCAATAATTGTCATGCATACTTAGACATTCTTTAAAAAAAAATCTCTTAAAACGAGGTGACACATAACATAACCAGAAAATATGACTACCAGCTTAGTCCTCTTCTGAAGGGGTCTTTAGTTTCAGTTTATTTACAAGTCTAAGAAACTACTAGGTGCCACTACCTACTGAATTTTACACTGCAGAGGGAACAACCTCCAGTGTCACTCTCAGCACCCCAACCTCCCTGAAATACTTCTCCTTATTCATTCAACTCAAGAAAACACAGTTTACACCTTCACAACACAGCACAGCATTCAGCCATGCCCTATAATGCAACAGTCTTCGCACTGTCAGTACACCAGGTAGATGCTGCTTATCATTTTGTCAAGAAACAAAAAACCCTGGAGAAAAATTGTTTCAACCTACATTTCTTCCTCTCCATGAATTTACTTATTGGATCCATAATATCATCATCATTTTTAGTTTTGTCAGATGGAGATACTACAGGTTCCCCATCTTCCATGTCATCCTCATCTGTGTTAAACCACATCTCTTCTTCATCTTCTAGTGTTCTGGCATCTCGTCGGTATCTATGATTCCTTAAAATGGAACGCATGCTATTGAAAAAGAAAAGAAAACAAATATATCTATTCTTGTTTAAGATAGTCTTCATGTTAATTAGGATAAACTGATGTATATATGTAGAAGCCTCGACAAACATGTAATTAAAAAACACACCCACTATATCTATCTAGTATACACTAGAACTAAACTTCATATCATAAAGTAAAGTTACAAATCTGTTACTAATGTTAGAAAACCAGGCGTGTTGGGGCTGGGAGATGACTCAGTAGAATAAGTGCTTCCCTGGCAAGCACAAGGGCCTGAGTTCAATCCCCAGTTCCACCAAACAAACAAACAAACAAACAAACAAACAAACAAACACCAGGCGTGATGATGCAGGCCTGTAATCTCAGCACTCTAGGAGGTTGAGCAGAAATGTCGCCCCCAAGTTTAAGCCCAGACTGGTCATGTTAATAAGACCCTGTCTCAAAAATAAAAAATAGGGCTGGGGAGATAGCTCAGTGGCTTAGGTGCCTGCTTGGCCAGCACAAGATCCTGAGTTCAGTCCCCAGTACCCCGCCTCCAAAAAAATAAATAAATAAATAAATAAAAAGAAAGAAGGTTAGGGATGTAGTTGAGAGGCCTTGAGTTCAAGCCCCGTACTGGCAAACAAGTAAGGAATACACAAGTTTACAAATTTGAAAATACACTAAAAATATGAAAAATGTCTGAGATTTTTAAAGACTGAGATGTAATTCAAAACAAGTACTATAATATTCTGACTTAATCCTAAATGCTCAGAGCCTCACGACCAACTAGGTGTGCACTGGTGGCTGCAGATCACACTAGCATTTATCTATGCCTTCAGGAAAAACCTACATCTTCTGCATACTACCTGCCTATTTCTTATTTCTCTGCTAAGCCAAAGGCCAAATAAAAACAGCACTACACAACGTGTTGCTGAATAAAGAACAGGTTCAAATCTTTGCAATTTACCTGTCGAGTTTGGGGTTGTCTTGCCTTTCTCTTTGTTGTTCGAATCGTAGTTTTAATCCCTTAAATGTCTGTACATAATCTACGTCTTCCAGTGCTTTCCAATAATTTTCAATTACATGAGCAGTTAATGATTTAATATCTTCCTACAGAAAAAAAATTGATGAAATGATATGAAAATACCATTTTAGCAAGGTAAAAATTTAGTGTAGTAAATTCACCAGATATAGTAACACACTGGCTATTTCCACAATCTCTAACTTTTGGTACACTTCAGAACCACCTAATGGTCTTTTCAAAGTAAATGTCCAGGTTTCTTCCTAGATGATTCTGATTCCCTAAGTCTGAGCATGTTTCCTTTCGTTATTGTTATTATTATTATTTGGTGCTGAGGATCAAACCCAGGACCTGACACATGCTAGGCAACTGCTGTATTAATGTTAGGAAACCAGGGGTGATAATGCAAACCTGTAACCTCAACACTCACCGAGCTACATCCCAGACTAGGGCATGTGCATTTAAAAAATATGCCACAAAGTCTGGTTGCACAACAACATGAAGGCATTGGAGCCAGTTGCGTATGGACTGAAACCTCCACTAACTGTGAGCTAACTAAAGCTTCGCTTCCTTAATTCTGGGTGTTGGGAATTTTGTCCTACCAACGAGAGAAGAGTAACTGAGATAACATTTAAAAATGTTTAGGACACTAGGTGTGGTGGCACACACCTGTGATCCCAGCACTCCGGAGGCAGAGGCAGGAGGATCATTCAAGACCAGCCTTAGCTTCAAAGTGAGCTTAAGGCCAGCCTGAACTGCATAGTGAGACCCTGTCTCAAAGACACACACACACAAAGTTCAAAATGGCAAATTTTGTTATGTATATTTTATCGCAATTCTAAAAAATGGCATTAGCAGAGATAATTTTGTCCACTTAGTAAGCATAGTTCACTACACTAAAAAATCAAAGTTTATTATGAAATTGTTCTTTAGAAATGTGAAAGAAAAATGCTCAAATGTTTACCTGTCAACTGCAGGTAATTTTCTCAACTTCCCGTGGCAGTGTTAAGTCAATTTTCACGCTATACTATGATTACTAAGAAATAATCTCTCACAAACTTGTGTGGTAACCTTGCCTTTCTTTTAAGACATTTTCCTCAAATACAATAATCTCAAACCAGTAATGCATATTTTCCTCAATTAAGACCAAAAATTCTAATTAAAAAAATACAGAACCTACCACTCTAATAAATTCGAACATTTCTATTATGGCTGAGTTCATCAGATTGTAGCGGGATCCATTGTTGAGAAATGCTTTGACTACAGGTTCAAACAAAAAACTTTTCATTATGTAGCGGTTATAAAACTCATCTTTTAATCCAATAATTTTTCTCTTAAAACGAAGGGCACCTGAAACACAGAGGCATTGTTGTTTGAAACCATATACCACACTTCCATATTTTAGACTTACCAAAACCACACCACCTGATTATTAACAAATATCAGTAAATTTTTATACACAGCTGTGTTAGGACTTCTAGAAATATAAACCTAAAGGGTTCTAAAAGCATTACCAGAAAGTATATTCTGTAAGTAGTGTATGTCACCATAGAACACAAGTCTTAGAAAGCCAGAAAAATTCTGGAAACGAAGCACTTAATACCCAAGAAGTTAATTTACATCTCAAATAAGAGCTAAGACATATGAATTAACCTATCACCCCTCATTCTACTTAAGATGAAAAAATTCTGAACATTCTGTCATTTACATTTATAAAGCAACAGAAAAATCGGTATGTTTTTAAGGGCAATCCACTGTAGAATAATCTTCAATAATTTTGGACACTCTTTTGTTGTTTTGCATCATAGTTGATGAACTTTGCCTTATTTGTGGATGTGGTTACAGAAATGCTATAAACCCACAAAAATCTGTGTGGCCCAAAATTTGCCTTCCCATATTTTAGAAATAAATTTAGAGGATGTAGTTTAAAATGTAGTCCTCTATTCTTATTATAGCGAGTATGCTTTTTAAGTTTTTCCTAGTTTTCCTTTTTGTAATTAATCAGGCTTTAACTTACAGATTAAAAGGTATATTTGCATCTTGAGGTACGGAGTGTTACTTAAGTCACCATTCGTCAAGATCCAAATATACTCAGACAGCTCGACTTCAACAAAGCCCTAATTTACCTACGTGGAATTATCAGTAAGTTAATGCCCCAGCTATTGTAAACAGTTCAAAAAAGCATACTCACTTCATGCAGTCACATCGTCTTCGGTTGGCAAGATTAAATATTGTGTTTGTATTATGGTTTCTTTGGAGTTCATGGAAGTGGCTCGTTAACTGCCAACTTGTTATTAATCAAGTCCTTCATGAGCGGGCAGCCAGGCAACCATGCTGACACGGTTTCTGGGTGGGAAGGCAGAGGAGTAAAGCAGCTCAATTTTTCTTTAGTTGGCAGAAAAGAGGTCCACAAGTGAATGCCCAATTAAGTACAGTTGATCAGAAACTGCCGTAACAATCCAACTTATTTAAGAGTGGATCTTTCTAAAGAAACACTCTGGGCAGGGAATTTCAAAGTAGGTTTTAAAAACTGCATTTTGTTTTTTAGGTTACTGAATTTTTTAAAAAAACAAACATGGTGAAGACATTTTAAACAATAAGAGGCATCTTTCAAAATGAAGTCAAAGCCTAATAAGGATTTATTTTTCTAAAACAATGACTTCAGTGCTTTTTCACTGTCAACTACCTAAGGAATTTAGTGACAGTTTCACTTTATAGCATAAAAAAAGTTAGATCTCATGCTAAAGGCCAAATTTTAAGCTCTCAGTAATAAGGCAAGAGCTGCTGCTCTGAGAATTGGTACCCCAACTTTCAGGCTTTATGGAGACTTGTGTCCTACCAAACATACACTCACCAACCCCTCTGGTCTGCATGCAAGTGCTAGGTAAGTGAAAAAGAAACTTCTCCCTTCCTGGAAATCACTAACATCAGGCCACACAGAGGAACCCCCATGTCCTCAAAGAAACTCCTACCAAGGAACGGCTGACACAGATAGTATGAAGAGTTACATTCAAAATTTTAACAGTGAGTTCCATCAAGTCAGGTCATTCAAAAAAAGATCAGAGAAGCTTTCAGCATAGGCCAAATTGGTATTAACTGCAGCATTTTCAATGTAACGAGCATTCTGCTTTCACTCACATTGCTAGCTTCCACTGTGACCATGCCACAAATATCCTGTCCTCAGTATCAATAATCTTTTCTTTTAAAAAATTTATCTCACACAACAGGAGACTGTGTGAAGTTAATTATCTCATGTAATTAATGACAGTCAAATAAAAGTCTACAACAAAGCCTTTCAAAATTTCATTTTTATAGTTTTCTGTATTTCTTTCTCTTTCTCTTTTTGTACCAGGGATTAAACTCAGAACCCTGTACTTGCCAGGCCACTGCTTATGCTACTAGGCTATCTCCCTGGCCCAATTTCCATATTTGTAACACCACCACCACCATCAACAAAATAAAAGAATCAGACAATGTTTAAAAAAAAAAAAAAAGGATGAGGCTTAATGGACTACTACATAATATCCAAGAATCTTGAAAGGGCTAAGGAACAAGACTGACTGAACTAGTATCCATCTTACAAAGATTCAGTTTAGAGAGGACTGTCTTATGTACATATTTGCTTTCTTGTCTTTATGTAAAGTATACTAATTAAGCAAAAGATAAAAGTGCTCAATTTCTGTATACTGAATCATTTTATAAACTTACATATACACATCTAAACTTAAGTAGGTACGATGTCCTTTTAAAAATGCTACACCTAGTATTTTTTCAATGTTAACTTTTCTGAGAAGAACCACAAATAACTTAATTTTCCCAAATTTACATTCAGTTCTTAAAAATCCTTGAGAAAAATACTATAAAACCAGTCCTTGTTCCTAATGACTGATATCTTCTCTCAAACCTGGAAGACTGGCTCACTAAGAAACCATTTGAGAAAGAGGTTTAATGATGCAACCTGACTGTTTATCATGTCTGACTAGCAATAAAATGTAACTAAGACTTTGCTAGCATAGTGCCTAACAACAAAAACTTTCATTTACTTGTAATGAGTCTCTCCACAGTTCTCACTGGACTATGACAAAGTTTCTTTATAATACCACAAGCAAAATAACAAGGCGAAACTAAAGGAAAAAACCTCCTTTTGAGCTGCACACCCTGCCTTCTCCCACTGGTCTCACATGGCCTACCTATAGCAAGATGACACCAGCATACTTGGATACATAATACCTCAAGTGTGCATTCAGCCAAGAATGGCACTCTCCTGTGTCTATGACCAAGACAAATCCAAATTACTGGTTTTTTAAAATTTAAGTTACATTTTGACTTTTATGACTCTCCTGTCCTAATGAAGTGATTCCCATGGAGCTGAGCCCAAGAATCAGTCATCTTAATTTTCTCATCATTTTAATGAAATCTAAGATGCCACTGATTGCAAAAAATCTACCTTTACTAAGAAAACAAAATTTAAAAAACAGGGCTACTAAATATATCATTAACTATAAGACTAATTTGATTTCAGAGAGATAATAAATGTGTAAAGATGCACATCTTAGAATCAATGAAACACAGCAGTAATGTTTTATTTTGTACTAGGAATCAAACTCAGGAACTTGTGCTCACCAAAGCAGGCGCTTGTGCCACTGAGCTATAGTCCCAACAAGTAGTGTTTAATTTACTTGTTGAAATAGAACTGCTTAAGCTTACTCATTTATTGTTTTTCAATACTATTAGCTCAAACAAAAACCTCTATGTTGACACTAAAGGACAATTAAGTTATGAACTCTCCCTAACATGACCCTGGAGCCCTCCTTTTGTGATTGATATATTAAGAATATGAATATGATTTCATTTTTGGCTTTTTTACAAGAGAGTTTCTATATTGTGTGTAATGAACTATGTAGCCCAGGCTGGCCGTGAGCTGAAAGCAAGCATCATCCCGTCTCAGCCTCCTGAATGCTGACATTAGAGGCATGTGCCACCACACCCAGCATGACTAGGATTTTAAAATTTCTTTTTTATGTGTTGAGTTCATGGATTAAAAAAAAAAAAAAAAAAAAGGCAAGGCAAAAATAAAATAATGCACTTATTTTTAGCAGTCCTTAGTCTAAATTAATGCCGCAAATGCTACCTACTACTTTTGGCTGAAAATGATTCTAAAGTAACATTAAAGACCCTAGATATTCAGCAGAAAGCAAATGAGCTGAAAATCTACAGGCTGGAAAAAAGAAAATATGCTCTGACCAAATGTACCTCAAGTACATAATGCAGTTCATAGTTCAGCCTGAAAAATCTTAAGTCAAGAAACATAACAAATATCACCCTGTTAGAAAGTTAAATTTGAAGGAAACTGTTCAACCATGATTCTTTGAAGAAACAACAAAACACCCCAACTTACCTGTAAAAACCAAAAGGCAAAAATTACTTATCAACAGATACTTCTCATGGAGCTTCCAGGACACCCCTAACCGTGGCCTGCCAACTTCCCAATGAGGACAGTCTAAACACGGAGACCTGAAAAGTCTGAGTGCTCCACGACCAAGAACACTGGGGGTTAAGCTATTTTCAATTCACAATTATTTCACTGTAAAAAGTTATAGTTTTAAGACCACTGTAAAAGTCTACTTAAAACTGTACACAACTAAGCAAAACCTTGTTTTAAAAGGCTTTTCTAGGGCTGAAGATGTAGCTCGGTGGTAGAGCGTATGCTTCTTTTGCTCAAGGTCCTGGGTTCAACCCCAGTACCACCCCAAGCCCCCCACAAAAGAAATTCTTGCTTAGGAGCCCACAAACTTTTCAGTGTGATCCACGGGGCAAACCTTCCGAGTCACATGTGAGCCAGGAAGCCCTGCTTTGGGGGCCGTGGTGTGTGTGATGAGACAAGGTCTTGCTATGTAGTTCAGGCTCGTTTTTTTTT